TCATTCAGTACATAAAAATGAACTGAAGTTAAATGTTTGAGTAGTATTTTTTTTTTGTTTAGAGTGAAAATGAAGAGCACATTGATGTTCAAATGCAAATTGGTTGTCTGTTTTTGTTGTTTGGATTTTAGCAAAACTTGTATTAGTATCATCTCTACTGAGAACCAAAAGCAACCATCAGGATATAGTAAAAGTTTCTAACATGCAATGGAAGTAATACTAAGAGATTCAAATAAAGATCAATTTACTTATGCTTCCCCTTTCTTAAAAGATTGAAAGCTAAAGACACAGTAAGGCCTCGATTGCCTCTTTTTAAAAATAAATACAAGTTCAAAGGGTATTCTGCATTTTTGCGACAGTATAAATTTTTACTGTCTAATCAAGTACAAAAAAGATTCCAAGTCAGCAGCTGATATCTTTATTCCTGGACTGAAAGTTTGCCTTTCCCAATTTCAAATACGTTTAGTCAGGCCCCACAAAATCATGAGGTTAAAAAACAACAAACTGCAGGATCTATTATTTTAATTTTGTATGTAAGTGCTGTTCTTCAGTCCTGCTCCTCTTTGTGTTCTGCAGCAGTGAAGGTTGAGAACTAGTGGGGAAAAAAAATGTAGTTTCAGAGTTCTCCAGGAACTGGAGCTTTAAGACATGCAGCAAATACTTAAGTGTAGAACAATATCATAAAGATTGGAAATAGTGAGAATATATAGTTCATCATATGATACTATGCTTTTTTTTTGCCCAGAAGTTTAGGTATTGGGAGAGGAGGAAGTTTATTTAAAAAATAATACTAAGATAAAAATCCCCAAAATAGGAGTCACTCACTAAATTTGTGTTATGTAGAATTTACTGTTTCATAATAGAAGCAGAGGAATTAAAACTATAGAATCTGCAAACCATAAGAGAAATCTAAAAAGAAAGGAGAATTGAGCCAGCCTTGCAGTCTGTCTAGAAGACAAGATTCTGACTTTTGCTGGTAGAGTGGGGAAAGTGCACATCCCCATAGTTCTGGGGAAGAAGCACTTAAATTAGGAAAGCACAAGCAGAGAAATGAGGAAAAGCACCTTAAGTCAACGAAGTGGAGTATGTAAGATAATACAAGAAGAAAAATTCTATACATACAATTGCTACAGAGGTATAAGGCAATTGAAAGTGCTTATCCATTAGGATCAATCAAGACCTCTCAGGGTACTAAAGCTAGATTTTTTTTTTTTTTGGATGGGGGAGAAACAATAGGGCACTCCAATCTTAGTTGCAATGCAGCTTGAATGCTTATCTTGGGTAGTATTGTTTGTAAAATCTGGCTTCTGTAGGTTTTTAAAGATGCTTTATTTTTTTTAAAGCAGAATATGGCTCATGATATCATCTACTACCCTGTCCTGATCTACAGCATCTGTAGAATGTTATGAAATCTTGCTGTGAATGATCTGGGAAGTTTGTTACTTTCAGATCATTACATCCAGTTCACTTGTTGCTCATTTCATAACTTTATTTTTTTTTAGTAACCACTGGTGAAAACCAGTGACATCAACAGCAAAAGTCATGGTGCTTCTCTTTGATTAGTACATGATATGAGTTATTACCAGAAATGGTGATGATGTATAGATGAAAGAGAGATTGATGCCCTGGTAGCTTCCTGGTTTTTGCTCCAATCTAATTCTTCTTTATTTGTGTCCTTTTTTGTCTTCATTTTGTGATTTTTTGCATTTATGATTTTAAATGCAAGTCAATTTTTTGCCTTTTTGCTAAGTTTGTGATTTATTTTTTTAATTTACCTGTCTAAAATGGAGTAGGTTTTGGATCGATCAAATGGCTCTTTTTGACTTTTCCATGAATTTATGACCTGCAGATGGCAAGTAAAGTTAAAGCTGCTTAGTATCACTTTTTTCAGACTGTTTGAAATTTGTGTGTTGAGGGCTGGGTTTCCTTTCACTGTGGTCTTCAAAACTGGCCTCCTTCAAAGACTGATTTGACACAAAAACATGAATGTCTTGGGGACATGTTACTTAAGTCATCATTGTAATGTTAACAGGTCTTAACTATTAGATTACACATATTGGTAGGCAACCTACATTTAAAAAGGAATTCTTAACTGGAAAAGATCGGAAATGCTTAAAAACCTAAAGGAAAGCTGGCTTTGAACTGCATTCACCAGCAAAAAGAAACATAGACTATCTTAAACATGAACTGAAAGCTTAACTTCAAAGCACATTGTTTCAGTAAAAGTTATTATTATTTATTATATGTATCAGTAACACTTTGCTTTTTTTTAAGTAGTGACTGGATAGTATGACAGATAAAAATTATTCGTGCAGAAGTTAAAGCTACAATCATGACCATAATTCATATTTTGGTAGCCAAAATTGCACATCTTGATTGAGGAAAAATGTGGATTGATTTTTTTTTTTATTAAATAACCAAGTTTATGAAGCAGTTTTCTGAAATTGTGATATGAAAAGATGCAGAGATCTGAAAAGGGGAAGTTTTAAAGATACAGATTTGTCTGCTTTTACTTTCTGATTGTTGTCTGGATTCTGCGGTTTTAGTAACTAGGGTGGTAACAGTGCAGAATAAGATTCTATTTAGTTTAGTGACTTCAACATCCAATTTTCTGTTTATTATCTAAATACACACACTGAAATAAACTATATTTGTTGGCTTTGAAATATACTAATGCTAGCATTCTTAAAACATAGAGAATGCTTACTTGTTTTGTGTGTTAGGAAGGGGTGTCAGCAACCAAATGAAAGATCCTGCCTGCACCAGCTTTGGGTCACACTGGGCAAGGGGAGTCGTGTGTTACTGTTGAACTTCTTTGCTGAAGAAGTAGCATCAAGAAGAAAACTTTTGTACAAATGTTGAAATTCCTAATGGAAATCAGAAAGCAGTAAAACACCATGGAAAAGAAAAAGTGCAGATTTTTTTAGTCATAGAACTTCAGAATTCTTAAAAGCATAAAGAGCTGCTGCAAAGGTTTGAGTTTGGAAAAACATCTGGGTCAAGAAGACTAGTTTCTTTGTTTTGTACTGTAATTATTCTGGTTCTAACAGTTACTGAATCGTGAAAACTCCAAGATCCATCAATTCATAATGCTAAGCTTTCTTCTGTAAACTGATTGTAGAAGCCTGTTTTAAGCTAACAGTCTAGCATAGATGAGGTGTTACCCCTTCAGAATACACAGTCAATAGCTACTGGGAGTGTATGGGTTTTGCGTTCAGCTATTTTTTTTCAAACATAGGGGAAGAATTCATCAGCTACTTTCTTGCTGCCTTCTTCCCCACCCCCTTCCAGCCTCAGCAGAGTCCTGGAATAATCACATATGAAGACTTTCATTTAGATTGATTGATTTATTTTAAATGGTAGAGGGCTCATAATATCACTCAGTAACTCTTCACTTGTGGCTGCAGTAACTTGATTCCCCCTATGGTGCCTTCCTCCAGCACTGACAAACTCGAGACGTTCTGAACTCAGATGATGAGTGATCTCCTACAGTTGCTTGAGACCTGAAGCCAATCCTGAAAAATTCAGTGTGCTGTTCAGTGTATTTCTAATGCAGTTATAGGAATGCAGGACAATATTTGTAGATAAAAGCAGATGGAGGGAATATCTTTCAGATTGGTTTGTCTGGTTTTGAGGGGAGGAAGGGGACAGGAAAAACTTTTGGCCATGCAAACCCTCCTTCAGACCTCAGGCATTTTTGTCAGAAAGCTTGTCTGCTGTCTAGGGTTGAAAAAGAGATCTCCATGCAAATGTTGTCCTGCCTCTGTCCTCAGATTGTCATAGTTGCAGCAACATGCCATCGGAGGAGTACAGAGACTTAATCTTCAGAGCTACTTGAAGCTGGAAATGCTGACTAAAAGTCACTTCTTTAATCAAAAATTTGAAAAGAATTAGCTGTCATCCAACTTAATCTGAACTCTCCTGTATGTGCTGTTTGTCCAGTCTTCTGCATCCCAGTTACCTGTTAACAGCACGTGGGGTAACCAGCAAACTGGGTTCCCTGCCTGATTGTGAGGGATCCGGCAGGGAGAGCAGAGAGTGCAGGCACAGGCAGCTTCCAGCCTGGTGTTTCAGTGGATGTTAAAAACTTTCAAAGTTGTCTAAATTGCAAGATCTACTGCATAGAAATTTATTATCTGATCGGTAAGATTTGTGACCCTCAGTAATAATTGCATGTTGGCATCGTTAGCTGGTTGTTAAGGAATTTGAAATAATGAAATTTCCTTGGGGGGAAAAAAAAAAAGAATTATTGGTTCAATAGTTCTTTTAGTGTTTTTGATTAATCCAAACCTTTTCTTCCTTTGGTCTTACTGTTTGCCTTTCATGTCCTAGCTGAAGTTAGGATGAAGTTAGGAATCTAGTCTCAAATGCCATGTTTTAGGCTTTTATTGCACCTGACATACATAAATAGACTTCCCTGTCAATGCTATATGTAAACTCAACTTTTGTGAACTTGAATACAATTCATGCACAACTCTTTGGAAGTTTGTACAGCTCTCAAAGTTTTAAGCTAAGAAAGGCTATTTCTGTGTACCTTTCCTAGAGACTGTTAAAGCAGTTGCGCTGGTGGCTTCTCGATTGCTGTTTTACTGTGGCATGTTTCTAGATTTCTTCTGGGTCTAGTGGATATCTATTTCAGGCAACCAGCTCTTATAATTCAATTTTTGATAATTATAACTTGAGAAATTTATTAATTATTTATAGCTTCCAGGTTTTTTTTAAAAAAAAGTTTTCCTAACTTCTCATTAATAAGCCGAAGCATTAATAATGTAAGCTAATAAATTGCAGAAGAAATAATTATGCACTTTATCACAAAGTTCCAGTAGGCTTGTGTGCTCTGTTTCATTATTCCATGCCAGAATAAAGTTTTTGTTCAAGCCTCAGTAGGAAGTAATATTATCAGCTTTTAATTTGGTCATGGAATGTAGTCTACGTAGATGTGTGCAGGGAAAAGCTTGCTTAATTCGAGCTTGGAAAGTAACACTTATTTTGTTTGGCAGACAAGATCATAGATGAAGGACATCTAACCAAAGTGGAAGAAACAAAGCTTTTGAAAGGTTAGACTTCTGGATTATTTAACTGGTTTTGAAGCATGTTTTTGTGTCACTTCAGTGCATGTTCTGTCTTAAACTAGGAGTTTGAGTTTTGTTGAATATTCACTTAAGAAAAAAAAAAATCAATGAAAGACAAGTATATTCTTTACTGAACTCTGCTCCAAATAGTTTCGTAGGATAAAAAAATTTAAAGGAGACTGTTTTTGAAGATTGAGTGCATGAAATGGGAGTCTCGGTTGTGACTGAGTTCTTGCCTGAATGTGCATTTTAAAAAAATAATTCATGTAAATGGATTTAAATCTTTAGTGCTTGCATAAATTTCAAATAGGTTTTTGTTTTTATTATAGGACTAAACTGAAAATGAGGCCAAACATTACTTCTGCTTTAAATAAAAGTGTATTTCAATTTGGCTTTTTTCTAACTTACACCCTTGTAACTTTAAAATAACTATTAACCTCCTAAATGTGCCTTTTCCAAGTAAAATATAAATGTGCATCTCCTAAATGTTTTCTCTTCTGTATAAAACAAGTAAAATACAAGGAGCTAATGAGAAGAGATTTATCTTGTCAGGGAACAGTTTATCTAGCAGCGCCAAAATCAGGAATGCTACAAAGTGTGTAGATCAATATTTCCTATCTGTCTAATAATGTAAGATTGTTTGGACTTGTAGGCTGACTCCACTTTTGTAACTTTTTATTCATGTCCGTACATACTAACTCATTTCTTTACCCTCTATCCTTAGGCAAAGTGTTATTATATTGAATAAATGTTAGCTTGTTAAAAGTTCTGGTATTTTAGAGACTTCTCAGTTTATCTTCTCTTACCTTAATGTATGAAACTGCACCTTTAATTTGTTTCTGTACATGAGTAAGCTATAGACGACATGCCATATTTGGGAAAAGAATGCATACAATAACTGTAACGTAACACTTGCATGCCAGTTATCTTGCAAAGCAGTGAGCTATTTTTAGTGTTTGTTAATATATTCTAACTCATCAAGTATGATGTCAACACATTTTAAGATACTTCATCATTTTGGCTATATTTATTCAGCTCAGTTTTATTATGGGAAATAGGGACAACGGCTGTGAAATAATATAGTACAGGAAAGAGTTTTATGCTTATGACTCTGGTTCCAGAATAGGAAGCAGGTTTCTAAATAATTTCTCTTTTTGACTTCTGCTGTTTCAGATGTAGAATCTTTCCTTCAGTGCCTAATCTTGTTGCTTGTTTCAGAGGGAGGAGGATAGGAGGGAGGAAGAAGCTGGTGTACCCGAGAGTGGGTGGGAGAGGGAGTATGTGAGGGAGGTGGGGAGAGGGAGAACTAATTCAGCAGCTGAAACTTGCACGGTGGTTCCTGTTTCGCACAGAGCAAGAAAGCTGTGATTCCATGTATGACCAGATATGGTAAAGTTAGTTGGATACAGATATTGCTCAGCATAGCACTTCTGGATTGGCCGCTAATATAAACGACATGGGTGAGGCTTTTAGGATATACTTTCTTAATACTTTAAAAAGAATGTATTACTTGCTTTAGTAATTATTACAGTTTTAATGGCAATCTTGTGAGCTTGATTCTATATGATACGTGCAAACACTTTGTCTTGTAACATCTTTAGATAATAGTTAAAAACCTTATTCCTGAAAATAGCGGAGTACCCTTAGCAAGGAACCACCTTGAAACCTCAAGTTTTTAACTACTCCAGTCATTATGAGCTTTGAAGCCTGATGAAGTCATATGAGATATGTTTGGAATAGCTGCCAGGTCCGAACCCCTAGTGTGTTTTAAGTGTACGGGTGCTTTCCCTTTCTCCCTCTACAGTGATTTCAGTTACATTAAGATAGGAAGAGTTTGGCTCTTGATCAGCTGCTCTGTTTGTACTTGCCGCCTTCTGTTTCATGTACAAGTGGATGTTATTCTGGCACAGAGAAATGGAAGACTTTTCATGTTAGATGAAGAAAACTTTTTTTTCCTATTAACCTGTCTGTGTTTTGTCATCTTGCTAATTACCCCGTGTGAGTGCACAGGTGGTCTTCGGTTTTTGCTTCTTTCATTTTGGGGATGTTTAGTTCTGTTTGTGCTCTTGTTACTTGACAAAGCAATGCACACAAGCTATATACACACATATACCAACAGGGTTAGTATAACACATTTATTGCTGTGCATCTTTCTTCCCATGGTACTCCTTTTGTTGTATCTACGGTAACCATATGTGAAGCAATTATTTGTTCACCATGCTTTTCTGCATATATAGTAGAAGTAAAGTCTGTATACTGGGAATGTTGTAAGGATACCTTCTTAAATATATCTATCTGGAACTTGAGACGTCTATTAATCTGTGGGTGGGCAGTGATGCTGTCAAACCAAGGCTCCACATATCAGCCGAGAAAGACTTCGTTGTGTATAACCTCACCTGCATGTTGGTGACATGGTTCCTCGCTGACAAACTTACTGGGTGTGCCCAGACCAGAGATGGTGTGCCTTTGTTTAATGGACCCATCAGAACTAAACTGGAATGGTTATTTAAAAAAAAAAAAAAAGAAAAAAGATTACAGCATCATAAAGTATTTAGACTCTGAGTCAGGGATACTTCTGTGTGGGAAAAGGATGTACTAGTATAATTAAGTCTCTTCACCTTTTGAAAATGTCTGGTCTCCATTAAAAATCTAGAACTGGTGAAAAAAACAAACCAAAATCAACTGTGTGGCTTCACTGAACTGCATGTAATAATGTGGTGAGTTGTGTATGAACAGATATTTCACGAAGGTGTTTTTTTTTGTGGAAAGGATATAAACTGTCTTCTCTGAATTTGAACTGAAAATTCTTTCTAGAAATTAGTGTATTAATTTATATTGCTGTGATTCTTTACTGGTTCATACCACACATTTTTTTTAACAGTACCATATATACAAGACTTGTTGCTATTATTTTATTTGTCCTAAATACTGAAGCACAATTTTATTCTTGACAGCAGTTTCTTTCTGACTTGTTACAGTATCTGCATTGTTCTGGTTTTCTTTTCTTATTTGTTCCCTGATTGAATCAGCTTTTGCACAGAGTTCCAACTGGCAAGAATACAGCTTTAACAAAAGTTCAAGCTATTCATGAGGCAGTTGCATCCCCTATTAGATGCTAGGCTAGATTAATGACTTTAGTGATGCTGAAATCCATTTTAGCCCAGACTTTAATAGAAAGAAGCAACCACCAGGTTTTTAAGTGTTTCTTCAGCTGTGCTGTTTTCTGTTGACATTTAGCAGTAGTTAAATAGATGTACAGAAGAAATTATGATTAAGAGACTGAACAAAGCATTTGTTGATTGTACTTGATTTTCCTTGTCTCTTACAGAGAGTCAAGCAAGAGTCAAAGAATCTGATTTGTCAGACACTCTTAGTCCAAGCAAGGAAAAAAGCAGTGACGACACTACAGGTAAGTGTTTAACTGAGATTTCTGTAACCTCTAATTAGTTTGAATTAAATCACTTAATCACGAGCATTTTTTAGAAAAGCAGAGAAGGTGTATATTATGTGAAGCCAGATACAAGCCTAGAGCAGTATTGTCTATTTTGTGACTTCATAATTAACTGTTATAAAGTGAGAAGAACATAAAAGCTTCTCTTTCCTTGAAGAATGCATACTTGAAAACTGTTTGCAGTCTACCTGCTCTCTGAAAGGTGTGGGTTGTTTTTTTAGATGCCCAAATGGATGACCAAGATCTAAACGAACCTATTGCTAAAGTAGCTCTTCTAAAAGGTAAACAAATTTATTCTTGTAACTTTAGATGTGTAATCTGTATGTATATCTTGTTGTCTGTCTGTTTTTATCAAATGTGCATTGAATTAGAGTGCTGAAATTCAAATGTTTTAATCATGGTAGTATGGAAGACTTGCATTTAAATACCAATAATGATTCCTTTGAGTGATGTGAGATAAAAGCATAATTCTAAGTGTTAGTATAGAAATAATTTGTGCTTAAAACTAGTTTCTGCACTCACCAACACTGTTCTAGGAATTTACATGTTTCTCAACTCTACTTGAAGTTATAATAGTTTCAGCATACACTTAAATTAGGGCTAATAGCTGTGGGGAGGACAGCTGACATGTTTTAAGCATTGCCAAATTTTACTTGTGTAGTTTCCATCACTGTCAGAAATGCTTCTGTTAGTTTGCACCTGATGGGTTAAAAGGAAAATCTAAAATCTTATTTAGTTAGCACACTCAAGATCTGAATTTCCTGTTGTAACTGTATTTAGAATGATTGCTGAGCCTTAGCTTTGAGCTTCACAGCTATAAAATTTTTTTTACTGCTCTTTACACTGAAGGTATGTATTTAAAACTTCATTAGCCAGCTAATATTTACATATTCATGAACTGAAAAAATTTGTGGGCTATTAATTAGTTGTTACGCTTACCATACTGAAAGTTAATTTTATGCTTTTTGTACAGTTAGACATTTGGTAAGATCTGTGAACTGATGCTATGTTGGGATAACCAGTAAAAAGAATGTCCCAGTTCTTCATGGTTCAGAAAGATAGGAAACCATAATGAAATTTAGGAGACCTGTAAAAGATCTTTTTTCTGTGACTTACACTTCTCTAATTTTATAACAGAAGGACTTCCAAAAATTGCATGTAGTATATGTTTCCAAATAGCAAAACTAAAATTGAATTTTATATTTTCCAGTGGATATCAGTTCAGCAAAGCAGTTTAAAAAGGAGTGTTTGAGAAACTAAGCATGTTGCGTTTGGGTTTTGCTCTAATGTCTGCAATTAATAACAAGTATATTCAGTGACTTCTTGTGTTAGAAGGTAGAATCTGGCGGTGTTGTTCGTAGCGATTATGACAGTCTTAATTTTTAGTAATAAATTTGGGATTGGCAGCAAGTTGTATTTGGAAAAAAAAGTTTTGGTTGAAAAGCATGATGTTCATTAAACATCAGAACTTTTAGTCCAGAACAGGATACTCATTAAGGAGTTTGTTTCCTGTGAACATTGCCACATGCACAGAATTCACAGCCAGAACAACCCTGTGTATGGAAACAGTACAGTAGAGAAAATTAATTCAGCCGGCTCATGTCAAAATTATGTTAATTCTAATTCTTATAGTTTTAAGATAGCCAGCTGAAAACTACTCCTAATTGGCTGGATTTCTTATCTTCTGCAGACACATTAAAAGTAGTCCATGGACTCCTCAGGCTGAAAACCACCAATCCCTGAATTCTCCTTATATGCAAAGTAAAGTCTTCCTAAGTTGTCAGAAAGGTTTGCTTAGCAGCAGAAGACCAAGCTAAGGCTGTTGTGAGCGTGCTGCTTCCTGGGTTAGAACAGTCTCATGTCATGGCAAGGGTCAGGTATAGTCAGACTTTATCTGTCCAGGGTATAATAAACTGGCAGGCAGGGTTAATTGAACTCATAAAGGATAAAAATCAAGTTTTCTGTAGTAACATGGAAGCAGTCTTTTGCTAATGTGGATGTTTTCATTGCTTCATTTGTCTTCACTCAGTTGAAGATTTAAACCGTAATCATTACTGAACTTTTAAGTGAATAAGTAGAAAAATACCTATTTGCATAGAGTGCTTTGCTATTGAATTGCATATTGCAATTAACTAAAATAATTGGTATACCTCTCTTTCTCTTGAGGCTATTTATGGACCTTCCTATTCTGTTCTCATGAAATCATTAAAAAAAAATCTGCACAATGAATCATTTGCCCTTGTAATTTATGAAAAGCCTATAAACCCACAGTTTTGTTTGAGGTTTTGTCAGAGGGCTGCTTCATGTGCCTGACTTTGCCCTAAGAAGGATCTTATTTGCCACAGAACAACTTTCAAGTGGATTTGTTGCGCAGTCATATAATTAAGGAAGAGTGAGACCATTTCTGATTTGGCAGCTGTTTGGAATGCGGAAATGGCTGCTGGAAATGGCAGCGTTCCTTTTTAACTGTTGGAATTTACAAAACAAATTAATGGAACAAGAAAATGATGAGATTTTTAATTGTTGTAGTTTCCTCCAAATGTATTTTCCATCAATAAATTTTGAGTGCATTCAGGATTTGTTTCAACTTTCTGGAAGTCATAATCTGGCAAAGAGGGGAAGGGGAAAAGCTGTCACAGATTAGTAGAAGTGCTTCCCCACCCCCCCCCCCCCCCCCCCAAGTTAAACAACTTTATTAGCCATTAATAACAGTTCCCTTGGCACTTCTATTTAGACAGGCTGTTTGTGACTACTTATTGCAAAGTTAAAAACAGGTAAATGTTAAACAGATGGAAAGAAGTGCTAAATATCATTGGAAGGTTAATAATCTTGTTCTTATCAACAACTTTATATTTTCATAGTAACTACAAGACTGATCCATGGAATCTTAATAAAAAGTGTTTTCAGTTGAGGGTTTGCTGAATAGTGGTAGTTGACGTAAGAAATTTTGAAAATCAGCAATGCTCTGTAGATTCAGAAAGTTTGGGTACCATTGTGTTATGTTGCAGTAGCCAAAAACTTTATTTTAAACATATGATACAGTTTACATGGATCTTATGAAGCTGAAGAAAAGTCAGGGTTTTAGTTATTTATCTGACTTCACCTGAGTACTCTGAAAATAGTCACCTGAATAACCTGAGAAATTCTGCAAAATTCTGAACTACTGTGAAATTTGGAGAAACACCAGCCTGCTCATAAAGCTGGTTCCACAGGCTGGGCACATACAGATAAGCCTATGTGTGGTTCTGCATCATCTCTGTTATCAAAACAAAAGTATAAAGACAAACATAGGCAGAGCTCTGTTAATGTCTTCATGTTTGTAAATATTAATGTCATCAGAGCTTTTCTTTTGGTTTTATTGAACTTTTACTTCATAGATCCTAGAGTGGCAATATATTCCTTCACACACCATGATATTCTTTAATGATTTGGAAATGGTCATTTTTTCCCAAAACTGACCCATGGGTTAGACTCCTTTTCTTGGGCCAGATTGAAGAAGGCATTTTCACATGCGTTGGGAATGATTTGTACAGGTCACACTATTGGGGTTTTTTTGACAATTTTAAATCTACCAGTAGAGGTGATGTTAAGGGAAACCTCATTGTGTGCGTGGGAAACAGTGGTGTTGATTAAGAACCTTTCTTGTAACATGGCAAACAATCTGATCACACATTAAAATTTTCCATGAGCTAGAATACATGAATAAAAGTTTTCAAACTGTTGTATTTGACTTTTTTCTTGGCACCTTGTTGTAATTAGTGATAGAATTCCTTAGACTTCTCTGAGAACAGTTAGTCCAATGCTGAATACTTCTGGAAATTGCTCAAATACGTTTTTAATTGCAACCTTCACATTAGTTCTCAAACCAGGTTTTCGTGATGTGAATTTGCTTCTTGAGGGCGTTCTAAGCCTGATGATATTTACTAGCTTTATTATTTATAAGTAGAGCAATCCTACTCACTAAGGAATTTTTTTCAAAACTAGAGTTAGCACAAAAATAATGTTTGCTTTTAACTAAAAGACATAAAAGAAATTTTCAGTTTGGGTAAGAGTGAGCAGCTATTATTTTCTTGTGCTTATATTTCTTGGCTTTTGCTTTAGAAGCATGTCAAGCATGTGAAAATTCCCCTATTGCGTTTGAGTAGGAAAGAGTTTTTATTTTGATTGTGCCTTTGCTAAACTGATTATATTGTCCCATAAGTTGAGTTCCTCATCTCCTTTGAAGCAGTTATCCTTTATAATGTGTACTTTCATTGATTGGAAAATATTGTCCATGACAAAGTTCATTTAGGGTGTCTATTGTTGGATTTGGGACACTGCTTCTTTATCAGGCATGATTTGAGTGTAATTTGTCAACTTCCTCATCCATTTCTTCTGAACGGTCTCATTAAGGAGGGTTGAAAGTCTAATTGCCCCAAGTCTTTATCCATGAGAAGCTAAGAACAAAACATGTTTGGTAAAGTGAAACTTGGATTTGAAACTCTAATAAACTACAAAAGAAAGTATTTGGATTAAATATGTAGTCCTCTTGTTCTTTCTGCTCTCATAATTTTGTTCTGAAAAAGTCTAAAAGCACATGTGTACCCTCAGCACTCCTCAATCCCACCAATTCATTACTGTGAGAATAGGAAAAACAGCCCCTTTTCTTAGAGGGATACAGTTTGAATACTTGAGCATGATTTGATAAACAATTATTTTAATGAAGAAAACAGGAAAAAAAATTTATACTTACTTTATTGGTGACATACAGTCAAATATAAATGTTGAAAGTATAATGGCAAACTAAACTATGGCTTGTTTGGTTTTTGGTTTTTTGGTTTTGTTTTTTCTTATTAGTGAAAGGTCCAGACAACCGAAGTAACTTATCTTATTCTAAGCAGTGTGCCTTTATCTTAAATCCATGTGGTCTATAGTGGTAGACATTTATTAACCAGTTAGTTATGTAACACATCTAACTTCTTGTTCTCCCTCTCCCATGATGTACAGCTGGACTTTTTTCACTGATTTCCCTCCTTTACCTTTCTCACCTGACTGGCTTTATATAAAGTTTTAGCCCTCTATCTGTATAGTTTTAGGGCTATTTGTGCCTATTGAAAAACCTGTTTCCGCACAGACCCTGCTTAAGGAAAATTTAGTGAATGAGAGTTTCCTGGATCTGATTTCTGGCATTGCACATACCTGCAAGCTAAACCGTTGTCTTCCTCTTCGTTACTGCATCTAGTTTGTGTGTGTGCCCATTAGAGGACACTGCTATTAGTTACAGATACTCATTTTTCCTCTTTTAAATTCCCCCCAAAAGTTCAATTTTAAAAATATTTAGTTAGTCTGTGACTGCAAGTCATGTCTCACAAGCCCAAGAGGTATTTAATATGCATTTTAGCCAATACAAAACTGGTGAAGAGCAGCAAAATGTTTTTATTTAGAGTTTAAATAAACATGCATAGATATCTGATCATGTTAAAGATATATCTAATACTGTAAGACTCAGTAAAAAAAAAATAAATTAAGGGTAAAATTTAGCTTAGTATTCACTAGGCCACCGAATGAAATAAGGAGGATGAACTTTTCTTCATTTTCTTTTGTTTTAGAAAATTTCCCTAACTTTTTCCTTTCCTTGTTACAGTCCATGGAGGGAGAAGGAAGCCAAGCCTTGCAGGTCACAAGCCAATTGGCAGTAGCAAACCACTTCCTAGCCACTCTTTGCGTAATCTCTTGCAGCTGACTGGCATTACGCAGTCTCAGTACTAGGCTGGGTCTGTCTGTGTGCTGGTAACGCTGCCTGTTGGGGCTGGTACGTGCTGTTAGGAGCAGGACTGTGGGAGGGTGGCTTGGGATGCAGGACATGCAGGATCGTTGCTGAGAAGTGTGTGCTAGGAGCGAAGGTTAGAGTAGCTTCCTTCCAAACACAGTCAAGAATTGTGTTAATGCTTGTCGTTCCTTCGTTTTTGTCAATCCATGAATCCTTGCCAATCTATACAGTGTTTTTAAAATCTTTGTAATTTGTTTGTTATTTTTTGTTTTATATGGCATGTTATATATAATGAATGTTTTAAAGTTTGTGTATGTTTTCCTCCTTTTAAAAGTATATTACTATTTTTTCCTAATATTTACCTAATCCAATTTTGGATTTACTTTAACTAACTTTGTAGGATTTGAATAAAAAGTTGTCAGTCATCACATGGTAGTGCAAATTAAACTTTTGTATAAATTTGTGATTTAAAGAAAATGTTCTTTTATCAGATGAATTGCAGGGTGCACAATCAGAGACTGAGGCTAAGCAAGAAATTCAGCAACTGCACAAGGAGCTGATTGAAGCCCAAGAGCTAGCTAGGACAAGTAAACAAAAATGCTTTGAACTTCAAGGTGAGACCCAGATCGACTTGATCGTATAGGGTATCCATTAAAATTGTATTTATCAGATAGTCTTAAAAGGGGGTCCAGTTCTGTTGACTCTTAGATAAATTTGTTTCATAGCATTCACATCTCCTGCACAGAATATCAGAAACTTTTGCTTTTTCCCCAAACTCTATATATGGTCCAATTGAGCTCCAACTTTTTGGTTCAAGATAAACCAACATCTTTTCGTACTATTGAATACATACTTGAACTTCATATATTTCATCCTTATAAAATACATTAATTTATGGATATTCATTAATTGTATTTCAGTCAGATAATGCACATAATTTACTGTATTCAGTGGTAGTTCTTTGTTTAGATCATCCTATCAGATATGTAGCTGTATCATTATCCTCAGCAAAACTGTGGGTGGTTTTTGACAGGAAATAGTGTAGTCCAGTTTAATTGCATATTGTTCCGTGTTCTTTATGGAGTATATTTGCAGCTTTCTTCTCTCCTCCCACACCAGTTTGCATTTAGCACACAGGGAGTATTCGGATCAGGCAACAGATTATATTAATTTCAAATTAATTGTAATACTACCACAATAATGGAATGATGTCTTAATATTAACTTCTTAATAAACTACTTACACAGTTACTAGCTTTGATAACTTACCGAAATAATACGATTGTTTCAATTTTTTTCAGTTAAGGGGAAGTTATGACTAAAATTAATTACACAGCTGAAATACTTACTGACAAAAACTTTTGGACACATTTTCACTTTCATTTATAGCACTATTGGAAGAAGAGAGAAAAGCATATCGAGTGCAAGTTGAAGAATCCAACAAGCAAATAAATGTTCTGCAAGGTAGGAAGTGGGTGGGGGTTTTTTTTTCATCCCACTCTTTTGGGGAAAATATATAGCTTTGGCTGTTTCCATGGCATCATAAGCATTAATAAATGGAAATATTAATTGAGTATGTGTTTTAAATCTGATTTCTTTCACCATATCTTTGAATTTTATTGTGAAATGTTTCCCGTCAATTTCTACTGTTCTAATCATAACTACAAAAGATGTAATCTGTAACAGATGCCTCTTTCTCTCTCGTCAGTCTTTCTCAGCTTTGAATGATCCAGGGATACTTACTGTGACTATTTTGTCTTCAGAGCATTCAGAAGGTTTAGTCTTTTTGTGCTGCTCAGTCTCTTCACTTAAGTGGTAGAATCCTCTTAAATGAATTTTTAATCACTGCAGCATCCAACATCAGAGCATGCAGTGAAATTTCTGCAACAGATATTGTCTATACTTTTTTCAAAAAACACTATGACCAATTATGCTCTTTTCAGCCCGAAATAATTATAGCAGAATGTAACTTCTGTGTCACATATTCTGCATCAGGTTAACGTGTCAGCCTGTGCATGTGAGTGAGCACATTGGTCAACAAGCTGTCTAGCCTTAAAATCAGTAAGGGTTATGTTATGACTGTTCCTTAGAGCAAGCATTAGTTTGAACATCATCTCAGCCGTTGATTGTCAGAAAACTTGTAGGAGCTTCATACCTTGGTGTCTTTGTCAGCATATCATTTGGTTTGGACCTAAAAATAGTTGGAAGGCAGATGAGCAGACAGGCAGATGGGCTGACAGCCCTCACTTTGTTAGGAAATCAAAATAGCTTGAGCAAATTACTTTACGGGCAGTAGTTTGTTGTGGAATGTGATACTTGTCATATACCAGTTACACTGAGAAGCTTTTATAATAGCACTGTTTTATATGAGTGTCAGCATAGAATATTTACATTTTCTGCCATTGCCCCTGTAAGCGAGAGGAGCTTACTTAATACACGTCTTGAGAACAAGAGGAACAATTTTGAATCTTGTCTTGCTAATAGTGAAAATTCTCCAAGTAAAAAAAAAATACTGTAGCAAAAGTTAGAAATTAGGATTTGATAGTTACTTCTATGCAGAAAAAATAAATGTTTTGGTTTTCCTCTTGAAAAAAGAGAATCAAAGTGGAAGCTTGACAAACCCAAACTTAACTACAAGATGCCTCTTGTCAGTTCAGTACTTTTTTGTCTCCTGAACCCTTCTCAAGTGAGGCCTTGCTTATGTTTCCTCCTCTTCTCTCTCCATCGTAGTTCAAAACATTTTGATGTTCATTGTGTGCTTGCTGCTTCCCAAACGTTTAGGGTGTGACACATCTCACAACTTGGAAAAAGTTATCAGGATGTCAGGTGTGGTGGGTTGACCCTGTCTGGAGGCCAGGTGCCCACCAGAGCTGCTCTGTCACTCCCCTCGTTCACTAGACAGGGGAGAAAAAGTACAACGAAAAGCTTGTGGGTAGAGATAAGGACAGGGAGAGATCACTCACTAATTGTCGTCACGAGCAAAACAGACTGAACTTAGAGAGGAAATTCATCTAATTTATTACCAAGCAAAACAGAGTAGAGGAATGAGGAATAAAATCAAATCTTAAAACACCTCCCCCCACACCTCCCATCTTCCTGGGCTCAACTTCACTCCTGGCTTCAACCTCAGCGGCACAGGGGGACGAAGAATAGGGGTTATGGTCAGTTCATCACATTGTTTCTGCTGCTTCTTCATCCTCGGGGGGAGGACTCCTCTCATCGTTCCCCTGCTCCAACATGGAGTCTCTCTCACGGGAGACAGTCTTTCATGAACTTTTCCAGCGTGGGTCTCTCCCATGGGGTGCAGACCTTCAGGAGCAAACTGCTCCAGTGTGGGTCTCTCCCCTGGGGTCACAAGTCCTGCCAGCAAACCTGCTCCGGCGTGGGCTCCTCTCTCCACAGGTCCACAGGTCCTGCCAGGAACTTGCTGCAGCGTGGGGTCCTCCACAGGTTGCAGGTAGAATCTCTACACCCGTCATCCTTTTTCCATGGGCTGCAGGGGGACAGCCTGCTTCACCATGGTCTTTACCACGGGCTGCAAGGGGATCTCTGCTACGGCGCCTGGAGCACCTCCTGCCCCTCCTTCTGCACTGACCTTGGTGTCTGCAGAGTTTCTTACATCTTCTC